ATTATTTTTACTTTTCAACAATAAAAACTTTCCAAGAATAAAATCTCAATGTAGAAACAAAGAAACAACAGTTAATAGTCAACAAGGAGCATTGAATTGAAGTACAGTAAAACAACTAACTGGTAATTTGATAACAAGTAAAAACTGGCCGCCTACAAAAGAAAGGTAATCTCGTCCGCGATCCAAACACAGTTGTCAGGGGATAATCACACATTCCACACGATAACGTCAACTAATCATAGCGATTAGAAATGAAACAACAGCAAATTACATGTTGAAAATTGAACTTTGTATGCATCACATAATAGACGGTGCAGGCTTCTTGATAGTTCTCGATAGCTCTTCGATAACCAGATGAGTAGAAGAGGTACATAAAACAACTCGACAAGCTGCTTGTTCCACTGTCACACTGACCCTTTGTTCTATTGTTATAGTTAACCCATAACGCCTCACTACTGCATTTCGTGGCTGGTCCAACCGATTACGAGCAATTTCTCGTCGACTGCACAAAATAGATAATCTCGTCCGCCTCTCACTACGATGCCGATCAGTACCTGCCACTATGCGATCTTTCGACGGGTTCGTCATATTTTTCCGTTAAGAGAGTTCAGGAGCTTTCATGTACATCCTGTACACTCCGTAGCACATTGTATTTCAATTGTGAACGCCGCAACCGAATTGCTGACATTTGGTTTTTTTCTGTTAAAAAAAAAACTGAGCTATGGAATTTATCTACTGCTTACGACATCTATACACTCCGTCTCCGTACGCCATCAAGGATTCATTGTGCTGATGCTAGAACAAATTACAAAGGCTTGTTGATTGGAAATTGTACACTGTGTACCTTGCACAATGGCTATGAAGTTTTTTTTTCCATCCCCCACACAGTGTACCATAAGTTTTTTCTATAATTCTCAACACTTCTTCCTTTGACTAAAAATTTACAGGGTTGAGAACTTAGCACAGTTGTATAGATTGGTTATTTTGTTGCTACACTCACAATCTATTTCGTTATTATTGTTGTTGCTCATTGTTTATTGCTTCGTCATTGGCTGGCGTAGAAGAATTAAACGAACAAATCGAAGGTCTCGTGCTGGAGAGTAATGATGAGGCCAGTGAAGAACGTTTCGATAGTGACGACCTTCCTGAGGTAAACGCAAGTGAGGAGGATATTAGAGGAAAAGAAGGCGACCAGAACGACGACAGTGGTCAAGCAGTCGAGTGGGAGAGAGTTAGAAGGTGCAACGAAGAGTGGTGATTCGATGAGACAAACTGTGGAACTGATAAACTTTTCGAGCAATTGTTCGCTTTTTGTCGACTTCTACAATATCTTCTTCATGGACATATTGGAATTGATTTTTCGTGGAACAAAAAGATACGAGAATTTAAAAAGCACCTTTAGGGAAGCCGCTAATATCAAAGAGGTGAAGAAATTGCTCGATTTCTGTCTACAGATGGGACCGTCAACCCATCCAATTGGTAAATAGCTGGACCGCAAGTCCTCTCTTCGGAGACTATCCCATAGTGTCTAAAGTGATGTTAAGGAAGCGTTTCGAGATACTGCTGCTTCAGACTCAGTAGCGAACAAGCAGGCAATGCAGGAACAGCAGAATGATACAGGTTTTATGAGATCAGGCCACTTGTCAAGCTATTCAACAGGAATATCGGTAGGATATACAAGCCTGGGGAGAACACTGCATTGATCATTGATGAATCAGTCCTACGATTACGAGGAGCGAGATTCTACCAGTACTTAGTTCACTACTTGTACTTACCTCATAAGAGGCACAGATATGGTATAAAGTTATTCAAGATCTGCAGTGGTGACGGGTACATCCATCGATTGTTCATACATGCTGCCAAAAATCTATGAAGAATTAAAACTCAGTAGATTCAACTGTGACGAAACTGAAAGAAAACCTTTACGGGATAGAGGAAGGTGTGTGTATAACGAAAACTGGTATACGAGTGTCATCTTAGCCGAAACATTGCACCAAAATAGGACCCATTTCACTGAAATTTGTAGGAGCAAAAGCAACAGTCTTCCTAAGGAGGTGATAAATGAGAAGCTCTAAAGAGGAGAATGGTTCCTAATCCAGAATCAAAGTGGAGTGATGGTGTTAAAGTATAGGGATTAGAGAGATCATTATGCTGTCGACTGTTCATGAGAATAGCCGTTCAGGAATGTCCTCAAAGGCCGCTATAGTGGAGAGCTTCAACCAAGGAAAACAATTTGTCGACATCAGCGACCGAGACTTAATCTCGATTGATGACGTTATAAGACAGGTATTATGAAGTAATTGTTTCTTTCCTTAACTCACTATTGATCGTTTCATTGTGAATTGCTGGTTGCAAAGGAGAAGTGGTTGTGTGTTTGTATTGTAGCTCATGTAATAAATGTTCTTACACTCTTTTCGTTGTTTTAGAGTTTCACGTATTCCTCCCATTTCAGTAGATAGGACAATGTATATGGCGGCTAATGCGTTAGTTCCTCCCAGTAGTTTTCAGTATGAAAAACAATTCCGAGAAGCAGGCTAGTATGTGTGATGATCATCTGGGAACACTGTAGTAGTGTTATCTCGTGATTCGCGCGAAAACTACGCTCAATAAGGAATTTTTCACTATATTAACGAAGAAAGAACAATCAATGTGCTCAGTGCCAACTTCATGCAACAAATTATCTATTTCTGGGGTTACGAGGTAACGACAAAATAAAGAAAGGTCCCCAAATCGTTTCAGGATGGGTCATATTACGAATACCTCAATATCACCCGCTAAATTGAGACATGAAGTGGGCGCCTGAACCATGCGGTGCTCAAATTAACACAACGAACATGTATACTGAACATGTATATGTATCAGTCAACGACTTTGACTGAAACGTGTGAGATTTCCTATACCAATGGTACGCTATTTAATTTGATCTTGGTAAACCCAACCAAACGCCACGATCTCTATAAAAGAGTAAATTGACAAAATAAGGAAACTTTCAGATGATAATATAAATGGTTTTGAAAATCATTTCCAAAAACACCAGTGGAAAATAAAGAAAATAAACAATCGAGTGGCTTCCATTTTTAAACATTCAAATAAAAGTCCCACTTATAACAGCACGGTTCTGAGGAAGGCGAAATCGTCGAAACATCAACCATCGACCAACAACACCAATAGCAACGACAACAACAACAACGACAACTACAAGGAAGACCTCGACCGATCTCGCACTGGCTCAACAAGATCAGTTTATAAGACCATATAAATAAATATATCCAAATGAAGCTTTTAGAAAGTGGCTACGTAACAAAATGGTATTGAGAGCCAAGTAGTAAAAACATACTGCCTTACCTCTCATCCTTCACACATGAAAAAACTCTCATCAAAAACATCTGAAAAAAGCACTTAACAAAAACATGTGCCGAACAGCTAAAAATGTGCGCGCAGGAGAAGAGGAAACGAAGGAGTCGCTAAATTTCGCACGAAAGAAAGCCATTTCCAATGCCTGCGAAGGGTTATTCCCAAAAATAATGTTTCACATCGAAGCAAAACTTTTTTCAAGCTACCCTTCACTACATATCAAACGAAATAAGTTATGCCATTAAGCGGTGCCTAAGAAAAAGTGGTTTTGAAAGTTATGTGGCAGTTACTGACCTCCCACCCAATACCTGTGCCGTCAGGTAGTTCGCAACCGCCTCTATAATCGTTTGTGCAGCTCAGAAAATTTTGTAACCCGTCTAACGGAAGCAACGAGGATTGCATGAGTTCATGTACAACATACTTGATTTCATGTAACGCATGCGGTGAGGAATATATTGGGGAAACGGGAAGACCACTTTGTGTCCGCCTAAAAGAACATCTAGATGGGAAAGTTAAAATTCGGCAATGTACTCCTCTGGGTACGCATAAGGCACAAAAGCACAATACTGATGGTTTTGAAGTTAATGACGAATGAATTGATGAATGGATCCTAGCGCAGGGATCTAAAATAGCAACATGTAAGCCGTTGAGGAGTTTTGAACAATTTTCAAAAGTCCAAAGATGAACTGGAAAGACGAATACTTCACTACCACACGTGATATGATAGCTTATGTCAGAACGATTTTTTGATATACATCTCCATGAGTGGGTCTTAATCATCCCCTGAACAACAAATAGGTGGTCCGACAACAAGGTGGGTAGTTTTTGAAAACTGGCATCTATTCATACGCTGGATCTTCATTAATACTATGGAGATCAGCGAATTATGGGGCTACAATTACATATGGTATGTCCAAGCTCTGAGGAAGGCGAAGTCTCGAAATGTCAGCTATTCAACAACGACGACAGCAACAATAAGAAGATCTATATCAACCACGCGTCAGCTAAATAAAGGCATTTCGTAAGGATATATATATCCGTAAATAAGGATTAAAAATTGTTTTCCAACATGCAACGTGATAAATCGCATCGGTGACCAACTAATTTTTTGACGTCCAGCACTTCTTAGACGGCATTCGTAATTTCATTGGTGTCAACTATATATTTATTACTAGATAACTTATCTAAAATGCTCTCGATTGCTTGTTTCACTATATACAGTGTATTTTTCGCAGTGTGTTTTAGGGAGCATCACCGAAATGTGAACACTTCCAGCAGCGTGTTCTTTGTAAAATATTAAGTGTGCAGAGAAAGACTTCTCTGGTCTCACTCCTACTATTTTGACCCGGTTTTGAAGAGCTATCGATCGATACGGGAAAGTGTGCCAAAAGATGTGCTAAAAGAAAGTTTTGTGGGGCAAAACTAATCAGTGAAAAGGAAACACTGCAAACAATTATATCGTGCTCTCTAGTCGCCACGTATGACTAGAACGCTATTCGTAGCGAATTTTTTGAGAACTGCACCTCAAAGTGCGCAAAAAAACGATGTCGTTCTTTGAAAAATAGTAGTTAAACTGTACAATTCGTACCACATTCTATTTCTAGGAAAGAGGGAATAAACGAAGGGAAATGTTGAGAATTTGCAGACTAGTGCTTTCGTCCACCTGTTCGTGATTTCTTCCCACGACCTCTTGTTTTTTCTTTTTTCTTCAAAGCACGTAGATCTTTTTTCATTCGACTAAATAAAAGTAAATTCATTACCAAACAAAAGCAAAGAAAACGTACAATTTGAAATAAATAATAGAACAGAACTTTAACTTGTACATACGAGATGTATGAACAAGATTTCCCCACCTGTCCACAAGTTTATAGCGTCCATTTGGCCTCGATATCCTTCCGTTCTTTCCCTTTGTCATCACCACCAACTCTGTTTTCTTCCTATCCTTTTTATTGGCAGCAGCATAGATCCTCAAAAGTGAAAAAAAAACAGTCTTTCAACTTTGTTGATATAAGCATGAAACAAACTTCTTCATTTCTCGAACTTTCTCCAATGGTTCAAGATTTTCGTTGTCCACAATGCCTTCAGCTTTCTTCCTCGCAGTCTCCATACGACGTAGTAATCTGGTAAACAACATTACGAAGAAGCTCCCGTGTTTACCCTACCATTATACGAACTGAATAAAAAAAACTTACTTTCGACGTTTTCTGTCTTTCGCCTCTGCAACTTTTTTGCATGGCCGAGCATTCAGTTCCCTCAAACGTTTACGATATTCTTCCACTTGTTCCTAAAATCTTCATATGGTGTAAGCATGTATGATTTGTCGAAACCTGGGAATCATTTCCATATAGTTGAGGTTAGCATTTCCACGTAATGCAAGAAAACTATATAAACAATGAAGACCTTAGTAACAGGAAGTTGTTTCCGGTAATGCTTCTTCTCATCTTCGACAAACCAATCTGGAAGTCCTTCATCATTATTTGCATACCTACAAAGGATCGAACCTCAGAGCCACATGTTAAACCACAAAAAAAAGAACGGCCTTTGCAAACTCACCGATTCCAGCCCCATTCCTCAACCTCCCGAGCTGATTTACTAGAGTATATCAGAAGTTCGCCAAGTGCCAACTGTTCCGGTGTTAGCCGACGCTTCTTCGTCTCTATATGACAAATGATTTAGAGGCATCCACATTTTATGTTTAGCGAATTTGAAATTAAAAATTAAAACACTCAAAGCCTCATAAAGCTCCAAATAAGTGGCTACAAAATACATAAAACTTACTAGGCTGCAAGTCTTCTCCAATAACAGTTCTGCCACTTCCACGCTTTGTTACACGTTTATCTCCTAAACCTATAGAGTGTGATATCGGTAAAAACTTATGATTTACTGGTTCTAAACTGATCCACAATATCCACACAAACCATCTTCGGTTTCTCCATCGTCCCACGCCATCTCTGCAGTAAACTTCGAACCACTTCGCCTTTCTTTTTCGTCACCGCAGTCAATCCGTTCTTCCTGTTTATCATCATCGAACCTATCCATATCACTATCATGTTTCAACTGCGAAGTTGTGTCACATTCGAAACTAACTAAAATAACATCCGTATCTGCAAAGTCGTTACTACAACTTCTAGAAATTATTGTTATAGTTGCAGGTTTAAAAGCACAATAAAAGTAACCTGTATTGCTGTGAGTGGTGTTGATTTTTCGTCCCATGTACTTTTCAACTATATCTACTTCAATATCATCATCCTCGTCAGACAATAGTCCTGCGATCTCCTCCTGAGCAAATCATACGGTATTTATTGCAAATATACATAACCTAACCATGGTATTACATGAAAACACATCGGAAACAATTTCTTAGTCTTCTTCCCACCTTTTGGAACCATTTACGAGCTTGCGCCTCTTTTTGAGTCTCTTGCGACACTTTTGAATCTGCGATTTCCCAAAAATTTAAGCCATCACCATCCTGTGCAGCACCAGACTCTTCTTGCAGAGGACCACTGTTTCCCCCATATTCCTCCTCTGTGCTAAATACACATAAGTAGAAGTAGTTTGGGAATAAAAACAGAGAAATTGTTCAGATAAGGGCCCATTGAAATGATCCAATCTATTTTTGAGAATGTGCAACAACCCGTGTTAACAGAACTCTATACGTAAGATGAAAAAGCGATCAGTCGATATTTAACACAGTAAAATATTGCGCAATTAGAAACAACTGCTCTAAATATCACCTCTACGATCGATATGGTTAGCATCTACAGAAATCAGCTGTTGGACCTGCCTTAGCAATGAGAATAAAAAAGAAATATTCAGAAAGCACATCCCAATGAGCCGAAATAAAAGCGTCCGTACTTAGTTCTTTCCCTGGTTTCCCACTCTCCTCCGTCCAGCACAGTCCCATCATCATCATTTTCGGAATGTTCATCCGGCATTTCAACGGAATGAGACACTAATTTATTTATTTCTCTTGCCTGAAACATTCCCTGCTTCAGGTTTATGATGAGTTAAGTCGACTATAAAAATATGAAAACGTAGTCGAAACCAAAATGAACAAAATGCGAAACAAGATCACCGCTGACTCTGCGAACTTTCTTCAAACTAAATAGCTCAATGTCTTCAACTTGATCGGCGTGGTCGCCTTCTATTATCATTTTCAGCTGGCGTCGCTTGATAATCTTTGTCTTCATCTTCAGTAACTTCTTCTTTCTCCTTAAATACTTCAGTGTTCATAGTATCAAAACACTCCAAGTATGACCACAATTTTGACATCGTAGCGATGATTTTCAAACGGTACTCAAGTGGAAACTCAAAACATTTGTGCAGAGAGTGCAGAGTAGAAGGCAGTAATAAGGAATATTTTGATCTTTGGTTACCGCTGCAACGTTGCACTAGCACTGGCAACAGTACTGTTCTGTACTATTTCGACCAGAACTACAAATATCATAGCGATTCTGCGATATTCTCAAAACTTGGACCCCGGGCCAGATCGAACCACGGTTACCCTGCCGGGAGCTCGTGTATTACTCACTGCATCCCGGAGGCCCTGGCTTTGCGTTTTTCTCGGCTAATTTTCTACCTAACGCTGCCATCAGCAATCACCCAATTACAATTATCGCTTAGAGGAGAATCACCAATCCCAACGTGTAGCTAAACTGAAACATCGCTGTTAAACCTACTTCTTGAGTGCAAGTCGCTCATCCTCAGTGGCTTGTGCGATCAGCTTGTCGATCTCAGCCATTTCGTTGTCTCTGTAATCGAGTTAAGAACAAAATGATGGCATGGCAAAAATGCAACAATTTCATGCATGATGACAGTTATTAAAAACTCACTCAAGTTCTTCCTCATTCATCTCGGCCTCAGTAACGTTTTCTTCTCTTAGTTCGCTAAACAAATAAGTCAGTTCAAATTTAAAAACTGAGTTCATGGATCTAAAGTTAATGTATTGGATCGTGACGCACTTTTCCACAGCTTTAAGTTCTTCTTCAAGAATTCCCCTCATCGCCTTCCTCCACTTCAGCAGCTTCCGCAATTCACGCGGTCCACATACTTTCAAATCTCTGAGGTATTCACGAATCTAAAACAATTAAAAGTAGAATGCAAACATAATTAACATGTCAGGCGTCTTTGTAGCCGTAAAGTTGAAGACCTCTTCAGTAGTTTCAGAAGCGTGACGCCACTTCTCCTTGTCTAGGATAATCTCACTGTAGCGCTCCAATAATTCCAAGTAATCCTGAAAAAATTCAAATTCGAAAAAATAAGGACAACACAATACACATCCACACATACTTGAGACTGGATGAATGTAGTCGCATCGATTTTTCTATACATAGACAGCATTTCTTTTTCGTATCCCTCAGCCTTGGTTTTCTTCTCTTTCTTTCCCAGCCAAAGGGTTTGGCTGAAATGAACTGCCCTTATCATTTTTTTGCGTTTCATAAATTTTATGTATTCCCTCACGGATTTTGTTTCTGAGACTTATTGCCATCTTGTTCTGCAAATACTTTCTTGTGGTCAAGAAGTTCTGGTGGAACCTAAACAGCAGCATTTGGAAAAATACACGGATCAAAACTGACTACAAGAAAAAAAAGCACTTTTGCCGGCTTCAGGTACTTTTCGCAGACAACGAATATCTCAGCAGATTCAAGACGTGAGGCAGCAGGTTTCCATACATGAACTCGGTTGAATAATTTTTCAAACGTTGTTATCAAACTTGAATAGTCACTTGATCGGAAGACCTAAAAGGGAAGAATATTTCGCGAAGAAAAATCTCGTCAAAAGGGCAAATATTTCAAAGACTCTGCACCTTAGTAACGAATGTACCATTCCTTCTAAGGATCTGAGTGGCCACCCTCAAGGCCGACAACACTAGACAATTCTGTTGGAATGCGTCATGAACCCAATTAAGACCAACATTTGGAGCACCATCGTGTAGGACGCAGTCAGCCTATACATAGTTGCAAAACATTTGATAAAAAATAGAAATGAATTAAAGGCACCTCCCAACGCTGCAACTCTTTCTTGATGGCTTGTGATGTTTTCTCGGTGGTTATATCTCCTTGCAAAGTGATGCAATTAGCAACGGGCTTTATTGGAACTAGATCCACACCTTAACGTTGCAAACAATAACAATCTTAAGGGTGAAATTAAATTCAAAACCAGAAGGCATACATGATCCTACATAAACATATATATACAAATACACATACGCTCTTATCCCCTACGGTTTACCGCCTCATCATGGCAGGGAGATGTTCCTGGGTGTCGGGACGGAGGAATTTATCCTCCTCCCCTCGTAGGGCCTCTTAGGCTGAGTCCGACGCATTCATTATGAAGCCCAGCTAATAGTAAACCAATACCAGGATCCAAAACTGTCCTGGTGGCAAATCTCACTCTGATCCATAAAGGCAGCGACTGCCTGTGGTGGTGACGACCTGGGGCAGGTTTTGGTTAGGCTGATTTCGCGATTCCAGGGAGCCACAATAGCTAAACCAACAAAACTCCGAGAAAATGGAAATTATGCTCTGGCCAGCACATCCAGTGAAGACGAGCTTTCCAAGTATTCAAGTAAGTAGTATACGCATTTAGTATTTTTTTGAGTTTACCATTGTGTGCTCAATGTCTCTTGATCTCGTCCATAGACTCGTAATATCGCGTGTACACCTTCACGATATACCGCCTTTTCAGGATGAGGAATTATTCGATGTAGTGTACGACTGGGGTTTGTCTCCCAAAAGTTAGACTACACCGGAGTTAGAAATTTCCAAATGCCGAGGATAGACAGCCACCGTCAAGAGCTTTAAAATCCAGAATATCACTACAGTATAACGGTAAAAGTTGTGCTTTGTTAGTAAAGAAGTAAACATGCGTAGATTCAAATAGCTTCTGTCTCAAGTAACAACACCTACTACTATAAGACCTATGTTTGTTTGAATATGAAATGCTAAACTGCTGCAATGTCTTTGAGCACCTGTGCATTGTTAACAGTGAATGAACACTTTTTATAATTCCACGACTTCGTTTTGTTTCGCTGAGTGCTAAACAATTTAATTAAGAAAAAAACGAAAGATAAGAATGTAAAGAGGAAAGAATACCTATGATAAGGCTTGAGACTGGCATATTCTGAGCTGCAACCTGCATCCATCCTCCAGGTGCAGCGCAAAGATCAACTGTAGCACGAGCATTTTGCAAAAACTCAAACCTCTTGTTCAGTTGAATTAACTTGAAAGCAGCACGAGAACGAAACCCTAAAATATGGATAAAACTACTTCTGGAGACAATTACTTCTACAGTAGACTGAAACCTTACGAGTTCTAAGGAGTACTCACCTGCTTCCTTAGCCAATTTGTAATACTTATCGCGACGCTGTTTTCCAATTTTGACCTTTTTACCCATCGTGGAAAAACTGGAAAGCTTAAACAGTAGATCGAATATTTCTAATACGGTGTCAAACCTCAGGCGAATTTTTAGAGGCGAGCTTGGCAACCACAAACAGGAAGCGAATAGCAATAAAAAATATAAGGAAGTAAAAAAACGTAGCAATCGCCGAAATATCAGCCATCGACCAACATCAACAACGAAAACTTATACCAACCTCGCACCAGCTCAACGACATCAGTTCGTAGGAACACATAAATAGATGAAAGTGAATAGCACATCAATGTTTAAACATATAATCAGATGAGTAAGGGCAAAACAATTTTCAATCTTACTGGAAAGTCAAGAACTGTAGAGAGAAGCACTATTCTATTTCATAGAAGGTCAGCAGCATACCATGACAGGTGTGGCCGACGAGAGTGACAGTGAAAGGGGAAGAATTGCCCCAAACGATGAGCGAAACTGAGTGCCTCCGGTGACGGAGGTTACAAGTCATTCTCAACGACAACGATTTACCGCATTTCTACTAACCCTGTCAATCGGCCCGCCAAAGAACTAACGATTACGAACACAACGAGTTCTCATGGGGATAGTCTTAACGTGCAGTACTTATCCTAAGTGCCTATACTACAAGCGGCACTACCACATTTTTTGTGAACAGTTCACATGACAAGCCACAGGTCTAGTTAGATCTATACTTGGAGTATGAGCCTCGTGTCAGCTAAGCAAACACAAAATAACACAATGCCTTAAGGATGACAACCAAGAACTGGTGCCCAAAAATTTCAACGGACACTTTAGATCCAAAGCAAGTGGTTTATAACAAGATAACGGCGAAGCATCCATGTAGAGCTAAAGGTGCCACTGATTTCAAGATGTACCTTCAGGTGATGTTACACTAGAGCATAAAATCATTCTCTTGAACATCGCAATAACAGAAACATCGAACGAGTCCACATCGAATCACTGAAAGCCTCGTAACAGAAGTCCTGAGCTCTGGTTCAAAGCATCGCAAACAGCATAACAAAAGCACGTAAGAAAATCATCACAGTAATACCATATGGAAAACAAAAGAACGTGGAAGTGAACCACCAACGCATCATTCGCAGCGTGCTGTGATACAGAGTGGAAATGTTTTTGAGACAGATCTAGAAAGACGAAAGGTGTGATCGTAAAACTCGTGCAAGTTATGGATTACCAAAAAGCTACCAATACGATCCACGTGAACCAAGGTGATAGAGCAAGTGGAAGAAAAATACTTGGTACTTGATAATTGAATGGCCCGTCCCCACTAGCGGTGTGGGGCCCAGCATAGCCTCCAATTCTCGGAGATTGGCTGGTTAAGACATTGTGGTTCCCTATAGTCCCGAGGTCAGCATGGCCAAAGCATGCCCCAGGTCTTCACAACCACGGGCAGTCGTAGCCCTTGCGAATCAGGAGGGAGATTTGTCACCATGCGACTTTGATACCACGACGGTCATGGATATTCGTATTGATTTACTCTTAGCTAGGCTTCCTGATGGGAACGCCGGACTCCTTCTCAGCTTGAGAGACCCTGCCGGGGTGACGAATCACCCGCTGTACATCGCAGTCCGACGCCCAGGAACACCTACCAGACACGATGAGGTGGTAAATCGTTGCCAAGAGAAGGAAAATACTAGCCGGAAAACGTCTAGACACTGAAGAAACACTGGGACCACGGACAGAATTAAATCGAAATATAAAAATGCAAGACGCCCTGCGTACGAAGAGAAATCCAATAATAATATAAAAATAATCCCTTCTTATAACATAAAGCATTGGATAGTTATCTTCAGACCTCTACCTCTGTTGACTGCCACAGCCGAAACAAGATTGTCTACTGGTTGAACGCCTAGTGGAGAAACTAGAATGGGATAGCTCAATCATGTTCGACATGCACTGTACTGCACTCTGCTATTGTGACGCAACAGAATTGCTCTGTGATGTGAACTTCACTTTCTCAAGGCCCCCAACGCAGTCACTCTCGTAACAAAATCCCACTCCCTTCTAAAGACAACATTGTCGTCATCAACAGCTAACCGGGCTCACTTGAGGCGGTGAACGGGTGAAGGCGTTACTCCCCAAAAAGGGCAATAGCGCATTCGCTCCCTATCGCATACACCTGCGGTCCGGAGTTCCGCAAATATCTTAGCACCATTGTGACTACCTCATATCCACAAACTCGCGAGCTACCCACTGACGAAACCCAGCAACATTCTGCAGGTAGGACCCACACATCGCTCTTCATTTAACGAAGGAAATGCTTAACCGATGAAGCTAGGCTAAGCTTCCCTACACTAGTACAGACACATCAAGGGTAAATCAAACCCCTCCAAATTTTCTGCAACCACCTCTAGCTGTTTAGAAGACTGTATTTGCAACTACAGAGCCACATAGTCACCCCTAAGAACATTCGAGGCCTTTCTTAAGAACAATTTCCTATTGTTCAGCAATACTCCATACAACGGCAATCATCACAAGATAATTAGAAGAAAAGTAAACCCTTCATCCCTCTCAACCAAAGACTTCACTTTCATTTATTACATACACTTTATATTTGCCGTACTTTTTCAATACACAGAGGCTATCAAAGACGTTGAAATTCTTACAGCATCAGATAACATTCTGTCCAAAAAATGAGCAGTCATAATAACAAATGTAACAGACGTTGCAACATTATTTATCAATAGTAAGAAATTATTTCTTCCCTTTGCCCTTAGTTTTTGTTGAGGCAACGGGTTCTTCAACAACAAGAGTATCGTGACAACGGCCGCAATAATATCTGTTTTCATGGGCGGCCATGAAGACACCTCCGCCACATGATGGCGACTGACACTCCATGCGAAGGCGCCGGATCTTCCCATTATCATCGACCTGAAACAAAGCCTGTTAAAGTGCTTCTATTCACCAATACAAAGCATGTAACATGACATCGTATGCAGTACCCTAAAGGTAGTGGCAAGTTTACACAAACACAAAGTAACACCACGCATTTCTACTCAATTCTTTATTCAACGAGATCTTCCAAGCTGTTCATGGAATACGGCTAAAAACGCTCTTGATTACTAAAGAATGGCTAATTAAGCAAGCGATGTTGGTTCGAAACCACCCAGCCCCTTCCCCCTCTAATGTTCTCCACCAATCCACGTGGAAACGCCTTAGCCCGGCTATTTCCGAGATTATAAAAACAATCGAATCCATCGGTATTCTACGACATTCATAAAGAAGATGCAATATTCAAGTAGCAGATGAAACAACATGAGGAATGTTCGAAGACCATTGTGGACGATGAATGCTGTAGAGCGAAATGCATGAAACGCTGGGCACCTCACAGTATATATGATGCAGGGTTATATAAAGCGTAAGAAAAAAAAACTAAACAAGCCTTTTTTGTATTCTAATGATACTCAGCATCACACATGGTTACGGAATATTGCAAGAGTACTACTTGGTTATTACTTCATCATTACAATTATAACATTGTTGTAACTGTAATTACCCTTGCACAGCCTACACCAAAAGGTTATAGAAATCTATAAAACGAAATCCAATCTACTGCAAGAAATCCACTAGTCCTTAGTTGGCGGTTGATACACTAGAAACTTAAACGAGCCATATCCTCACGTAATGCTAGGTTTAGCACTTTCATATGTCGTTGTCCTTCAGATGTTATCCATAGAGGTGGCTGTGGACATATGCATTCTTGCTGTACCTCCACGATCTCTCTTTAACTGGCATGATTAGTGTTGGTTTAACGCGGTTTTCCATGTCACCCGCGACAACTGTGACACGGTGTTCTTAGATTTTTGCCGCAGGCATCCTTGACCTTATGGATAGTCAGAACTACTGTTCTCTGAGACTGACCTTACCAAAGCGGGAGCGGTTATTGCGACTAGTCAACCGAGTGATCAACAACAAGGCAATGCGCCGAGTTCTAGTCAGTTAGGTATTAACGAAATAAAACTTAAAAAATCCCGACTGCGTAAGAACAGCCACTCATAGCAGCAGTGCACAATACGACAACCATATCATCACGGAGTTCTTGAGGATAAAATCCTGCTGATTCAATTGTATCTGCTCGAATTGAAAAGAGAAGGGAAAAGTGACAACAAACTCCGTGAATCCAGCATGTTACCGCGACAAAAAAAAATAATTTCAGGAGAGATCAGCAAATCCCAAAGTTTCACTCCAATTAATAGGGAGATTATAAAATGAATGTGTTTGAGGCCGTTAAAATATGTGGCTATTCGGTCTTACTCTTGCTCTGCAACCATGAATGGTTGTAACTAAAGAAGGCTATACCAGGCACTATTTATACTTCTATTTCGGCCGACCTGCCATAAATTCAACAGAACCAACACAGCCTCTATTGATAAAGAATCATAAGGACACGCCAAACCACTTGTCATCATAAATGAATTCGAATATCTCTACTAACCTCATAATATTTCAGCACAGCTAGCTTAATCTTCTTTCTCTTGTGCTTAATCTTCTTTGGAGTAGTATAAACCTTCTTCTTTCTCTTCTTAGCACCTCCAAGGAGCCTAAAATAAAACAGTGATGTACGAAATTACGCCCAGCAACGTTTCGAAGCCAGGAACGTTACGTTTCCAGCTCAGACTGCTAAGACATCAATCAAGGTACTCTCAGAGGCCTGGACACCGGCGAGAAATTGTCGTCATCGCTGGTATGCTGAACAAAAAGAAGAAGGCGCACCTCAAAGATAAGTGAAGCGTACAGGAATCATCCACTTCTTCATCGTCAGAGAGCTGACGACCTACAACATTAGCAAGTCAAGAACTTGTTGGGAGCTGGGTCCGTCCTCAAGAATCATTTCGAATTCTCTCGGGAGTCAGCGAAAACTGCTTACGATGTTGACAAGTCAGCAGATGAAATATGAAGTAGCATAGCGGAAGAGCTGCTGAACAACTCACCAGCAAGAATAAGTCTCTGGTCTTCCACAGGGACTCCTTCACGAGATTCAATTTTCCTCTTAACACTTAGAACATTGTCTTCTGGCAGGACATCAAGTACTACTGTGCGACCCGTAAGGGTTTTTACGAAGACCATCTCGCTCCTATCACTCCTACAAAAAATTAGGCCAGAAATGTGCACAGAAAATCTTTACATACGATGAAAATATACGAGCAAAGCAAGCCATAAGGATTCAAAACTTCACAGCAATACTGTTAGACGACGACCAGCGCAATACCGCCACATTTAGGACCGCAGGAAAGTCGATTTCGATGGACACGGTATTTCCTGAATTTCAGGGTTTCGAAGGTTCTTGCCGCGCCGCCGTTGCATTGGAGCAACAAATTAGCTTGGGCAAGTGTCGATTAGCACTGGTATTCTTACATTTCGTGAAGTTTCCTAGTTAAGCAATGTTCTTGTAACAGTAGTTTCTGCTGTGCATAGAGCCAACGTCCGGTGCTTTAAAATAACTTAGTTTGTAACCCTAATAAGGCGACCAACGCCAACACCTGACTGATAAGGTCCCGTCACTGTGCAGCGCTCTGAGCATCACACCTTCGTTACGCATTCTTTATTGACCTAACCTTGTCTTTGTAACTCCGTTTATGGTGGTGAGCTGATTGAGCCACCCCCACTTCCCCATGTGGACAGTGTAGTGTACGGGGTGTTGTAGGTTTCGTGGGTTCAACTTTTACTGCACTATGTATACTCATTCGATTGCTAATCGAAAGCGGACCAAAATGTTAGGAGCGTGGTCAGAAAAACCATTCTCTACACTTATTGATTTGGAAAAATCCTTCGAAGAAGTTCGTTGACCGATTATTTGGGTAGTAGTGAACTGTACTTCCATTGTAATCGCTGTGGTCATCGTATGGAATGTGTGGGCATGGAAATCACAGAAATGGACTCAGCATAATGTTCAGACTACTTGGAAATGCTGAAAGAAATGCATTCGGATGATGGACCCTGGTGACACGAAGTGAATGGAAGCACACAAATCGTTCATACACATAGAACGGCAGAGCAAAATCCCTTCTTCAATTCTGTCGTGATGACAACCCCTGAAGCACTCCAATTATTGCAGATTTCTCCAGTTATTAGAAAATTATATTTTGTTGTCAAAAAAAAAACCAGAAAGTCCGAGGAGGGGCTGAGGAAAAATTGCTCGTAATTGGGTGGGCAAACCACGAAATGCGGAAGTCACTCGTCGTGGGTTGAACCATTTTTTTCACTTTCGTGCCATGAAAACAGGCTAGATCCACGCTATCGAAATAACTTGCATAGGGCTGGATATCTCACATCGCCTTCATGCATGCGCTATCTAGCGCAGAGAAATAGGCTAACGTGTTAATTGCGGTCCTTGGTTTCCGCCACTCTTGCTCCGTCAGTCTCTCTAGCTTACTTGGATACTTGAATGGCCCATCTTCACTGGATGTGTGGTCCCCAGCATAATTCCGTTTTTTCGGAGTTTTGCTGGTTTAGCCATTGCGGTTACTTGGAGTCCTGAGGTCGGCCTAGCCCAAGTCTGCCTCAGATCGTCACCAACACAGGCAATCGCCGCCATTGTGGATCAGAGGGAAATTTGCTACCATGCGACCAGTTTCATACCAGGACGATGGTCGATCCTGGTATTGATTTGCTTTTAGATGAGCTTCTTGATGAAAACGCCGAACTCCTCAGCTAAGGAGGCCCTGCTGGGGGATGAATCCCCCAGCTGTTGTACATCGCAGCCCGATCACCTGTATCATCTGTAGTCCCGTTGATCGTCGAGTGACTCGAACGGGCGTCAGTAACTCTTCTATTTTTCCCTGTCGCGTGCAAGAGTAGCCCAGTGGGTTCTGCTCGCTCTAGGGACTCGTCGAGCATCATATCTTTCTTCAAGGCTCTTTGTGAAGAACTCTGACCATCGGGTCGGTGGTCTTCCTGCAGTGCGTTTGACATCGCGAGAAATCCAGCCACCAACGGCTCTTGTCCATCGGTTGTCGTTCATACGCAAAACATGTTCGGCTCACCTTATCTTCGACCGCTTAGCATCTAGAACGGCATACTCGATTTTTGATCGTTGACGAAGGTCGGGGCTTCGGAACCCTACCTTCACTTGCGTGAAACGTAATACTCATAGCATCGCCCTTTCGACTACGCATTCAATAAGGCTGAGTGATCTTTCATCCTGCTCACGCAGCTACCAAAGGCAGGAAGCATCGTGGAATGTAAAAGGCGGGCGCCAAGTCTTGTGTTCTTTCTTCTCTTCACTACATCTCGGGTGACCCTGAATGCTCCACAAACCGCTCGTTTCCGTCTGCTCAACGCTGGAGCTAAGTCGTTCCTCATGTTGATTTTCGCATCTAGAGAGACATAACTGGAGCATTCGGAGATATTCGTTCCATTGAGCGTGAACGGTGGATGGGTAACCAAGACATTCCGCATGAACATCGTTTTCGTGAGATTTAGTCGAAGACGAATCCTTCCACAGGCTTTAACAAAGTTGGCAAGCATTCGTTCCGGTTGGCTAATATTGGTGTTATAAGAACGTATGTGATCGGTAAAACGAAGATAATGTTATTGCTGATCATCGATTTTCACTCCATTTTTATCTCATTCAAATGTTAGCATGACATTCTGGAGGGGTGGCGCGGTGAATAACTTTGGCAAGATGGGATCGCCTTGCCTAACCCCTCTTTTGACATCAATGATAATATCGTTGTAGAATGGTGATACCTTGGTTGTGACATTTTTGTACGGCTCACGAAGAATCTTTATGTACTGAGTAGGGACTCCTTCACTACCAAGAGCTTCCAAGACTGCTTCTATCTCAACTGAATCAAAGGCCTTCTGTAAATCGACGAAAGTGAGACAGAGCGGTCTTTTGTGCTCTCGCGATACTTCAATGAGCCGTGTTATCGTGTGGATGTGGTTCATCGTAGTAAATCCTCTTCGAAACCATGCTTGCTCACATGGCTGTCCTTCGTCCAGTGTTCTGCCAATCCTGTTTAGGATGACTCGAGTGAAAAGTTTGTAGACGACAGACAGTAAGCAGATTGGGCGATAGTTGTCGATATTGTGTAGGTCACCCTTCTTGAACAATGACACGGTTTTGCTCGTCTACCACTGGGTAGGGACCTTGCATTCAGACAGGTAACGTCTGAAGAGCCGAGCCAGTGTGCTTACGAGGACTGGGTGAAGGTTCTTCAGGTGTTCTGATCGTACCCTGTGCAGACTTGGTGTTGTACGACCTTTCACCGACGAAATGGCGTGTCGGATTTCGGAAGGAAGAACCGGTGGTACAACATATCCATCCTCCTTTATTTCATATGGCGGAAGGTGGACGTGGCTATCGAAGAGATCCGAGTAGTATTCGTGAATGATTTTCTCCATTGCCTTTCTGGACGCTGTAACTGTTCCGTCTGGGCGCCGGAGTGCAACCATTTTGGTCTTGTAATTGGCAAAGCTTCGGTGTGCTTTACGAATCCTTTTCCCAGCCTCTGCAGCTTCGGCCGTTACTACTGCTCTTCTCTCTCTAAGATCTTTTATCGCCTGTCTGCATTGTTTTGCAAGTTCGGATGTTAGTTCGCGGTTGGCTGCAGCTCGTGCGGTTTCACGCTGGCGTATCAGCTCAAGTGTTTCTGGAGACAAACGCCTCCGGGTGACTTTCGAACTCTGAGCTTTCATAGCGCTAACGCTAAGATGTTGAATGAGCCGATCGTATTCCTTGTCGATGTTATCGACAATGGCATCTTCCCAACAGCAGACTAATGAATTGAATAATTCCCAATTTATGGTAGTTTTGGGACCTCGGTTTTTGAATTTAGCGGCTTTTCTCCTTTCCGCGAGAAATAGAATCTTGCACGAAGGAGACGGTGGTCTGATCCCATGTAGAATTTTGAAATAACAGCGACATCGGTTAGACAAAACCTTCTATTTACCACAATGTAGTCTATTTCGTTATGGTACTCTCCATTGGGAGACTCCCACGTCCAGCGCTGAGAGTGGGGCTTCTGGAATTGCGAGTTACTATGGATTGTCTTGGTAGCCATGATAAACTCAAGACAGCCGCTCACGCTTTTCGTTCCATTCTAATCCATGGGTCCCAATGTGACGTTCTTAAGACGTTCCTCTTAGTCTAATCTTGGCGTTGAAGCCTCCAACGATGATCTCGAAGAATGTATGGTCTTCTCTGTAGAACTTCTCCAACTCCGTATAGAACGCTTCGACTTCTTCTTCGTCAAAGTTTGATGTCGGCGCGTAAACGACGAAGATTGTTAAAGTAAAGTTTGTCCATTTACACATTGTGTAGTGATGAAATCAGTGAATAAGTCCGGTTTTGTTGATTGAACGTTGAACTACTGGTTAATTAACAGCATGATTAAAAACATGGGCAGTTAAACCTTTATATAGTTTACAAACTAACGACATATCTAGGTTACTCCATGTGCATAAACAACGTTATGAATAAGGGTTAACATTAGCAGCCATCATTGGAAGGGTGATGGACAGGTTTGCTGATGCACTGGTGGGAGAGAACGGTAATTAAGTAGGGTTGATCCCTTCAGAATGAGGGAATCTTATAGAAAATTATTTACTGTGCCAGAAATGTTGGTTACTAGCTTAAATTTAGCAGCGTATATGGAAATATATTAGGAGAGGACAATAAGAGAAAAGCGACAAAAGAATTTAACAGCATTAGTATGTATGAGGAAATAGCGTGGCATGTGTCAAAATTAGGTCAGAACAACATATCTGTCCTTCGTATGAGAGCACTCTCGAGTGTCGTTCTTCATTCGATCGGTGCTCCGCGTCATTGAGTTGAACTCGATGCGACAAGGAACAACCACATCGAGACAACCAGGTGTGGACCATCGACTTCGAATCGTTAGCCGAATAGATATTTTTTCATGTCAACTTCGTGCCAGCTTGGTAATCCACTAGACCATTGATTGTTTGTGCCGAGGATAGATAAAAGTCGGCTTGTAGAGATGAAATCTTTGAATTCCCGTATGCGTGTGTTGAGGATGTGGGCGGAGGTCGCGTCGCCCAAAAACCTTCAATGAAATTTATTTCTTTTTCACACGACCCGTCTTCACTTCTACTCCGCGGACTCTCCATTACACACCAAGGTTTTCGAACTTTTTACGCGTCAGTTCTGCTGCTCCTCGAGCATTGTCGTCCTCTTTGCGAATGTAGTTGAACGCTGGTCGAATCGACTCTTCCTGAAGCTGTGGGATATACGCGCTAAAGCGCTCCCATTTGGATTGCGGAGAGTCAACTATTTCCACAGGAGTCACGTCCCAATTTCTCGATGTCGGAGGGTGAGAGGGTTGATGAGCCCGATGAGAGGTCGAAGCGGCACCGTGTTCGCGATGATCACTGTCACTACCACACGGTCGCCACGACCTCTTCGATCAAATTAGTAGACAAAAACATGGGAAGTAGCACTGAGCCATATCCAACAAAGTCTCATATCTATTTTGCGAGGACTTAACAAGCCACCACTAGCCACCTTTTACTAAAAACTAAAGGAAAAAACGTAACCTGAACTATGTACTCTTCATATTCTTCGAGAGAGAAAAAACTGTTGGATACCTCCGACTTTCAAAAAAAAACGAGCATGTGGTCTATTGGTATCCACTCGAATCACCTGACGAT